CACACACACACACACACACACACACACACACACACACACACACACACGGCGATCTGCTTAGCGCTCTCAGTCAGTTGACATAATTGGTAATACACATTAAGTTAGAGAAATCCACCCTCGGTCTCATGTTAAATGCATCAAGCTCATATGCTAACTGTGTCGTTTATGTTTAATGAGAGAAATTCATGAAAAATATCCCAATAAATGTTTCAATTTGCTTCAACTCCCTCCAGCAGTTTGTTAAGGCGCAGTCGGTATTGTCTTTCATTATGGAAGATCTTTATGTATTATGAAATATTTAGCTTTAATTGATTTCCTCTTTTCTAATATAGTGTACTAAAGTGTACTTTCTACTAAATTAGCATATTATCCTTTTTTCCCCCGCCCTGCTAGAAAGCAACAGCTGCAATAATCCCATTCTGTCCCCCGTCGCAGCGATCGTTCAGAAGCGTCTGAAGAAGGAGAAGAAGGCCAAGAGGAAACTCCAAGAGGCCCTGGAGTACGAGTCCAAGAGGAGAGAGCAGGTGGAGCAGACTCTGAAGCAGCCCTCGCCCTCCGACAGCATGCGGTCACTCAACGGTCAGATGCTCCACAGTGAGATGCTCCTACTGTACATTACACTTTTCAGACAGCTGGTGGGGTTACTAGTGGGACAAACGGGCGGAGGGGGGGGGAGCCAATGTGTCCATTCCAAATGTGATTTTGTCAAGAGTTTATTTCATAGCAATGCTAATAAGATAAGCACAGCTGTCTTATCGCGGGCTTTACGTTCATAAAAGTGATAAATAATGCTGTTTTGTTCAGAATGTGAATACTGTCTGCTTGGAGTTTGTCACCCTGTGCACCAGGGCTGCTGCTATTGATTATTGTCATCATATATTCCTGTGGATCGGAGACTATTATAGATTACAATAGTGAAAAACCAAAAAGCTCATTAAAGCTCCTCAAAGCCGAAGGCGACGTCTTCACATGTCTCGTTCTGTCCACAACCCAAAGATGTTCAGTTTACAATGATGTACACCTAGAGAGGGATTGGAGTGTTTGCTGGAAAAAAAGGATAAAGTCATTGATTGATTATTAAAGTGAACTCTTGTAATGGTAGCTTAGAGTTTGTTTGAATCATTGGTAGAGGTGTAAAGTAACTAACCACACACATATTGAAGCACTTCCAGCACAGCGTCGTTCATTACTTTTAGCTCGTCCACTTGCAGAGATTAGGACTTGCATACAAAACACGCTGAGCTCATAAAATAAGATTTACTGTCGGTCTGTCAGAAAATGTCATGGTAATACCTCAAATCTTTTTTTAATGCATCAAATCCGGCCATTGCTAGCCACCAGCAGTACACAGGACGGGGTTATAAGACCAGAGACAAGATGACAACAAGACGACGACCATTTCCCCCTTTACAAGACACTTCAGTAGATTTGACCACCAACTCTTCTGCACTTTTTGTTCAGCAAATGTTTGAATGCAGGGTCGCACTTTAAATGGATGCTTATTCCAAAGTGTTGAGTCAAGGACTTGAGTATACTAAGAACGATCCGATTAATAAGGCACACGCTACAGATACAGCCCGGAAAACAGGCTCCGCCGCCGCGTCTGAGCGAGCGATGCTGTGAGCCCGGCGCTGTGATAGGTGGGTGTCTGCAGGATGTTTAACGGCGGTGATCCCTCTCTTCTCTCAGACTCTCTGACCCCTGAGATGGAGAGTGACCGCAGCAGTGGAAGAACAGATGCTGAAAGGACAATACAAGGTACAGGGGCTCAGATGAGACAATAAATCTCTCTCTCTTTCTCTGGCTCTTACTCTTGCTCTCTTTCTCTCTCCCTCACTCACACACACACACACACACACACACACACACACACGGCTTCAGTTTATGAACATTAGTGTTACTGTGCCTGCTGTTCAGGCATACAGCTCACCATCTGGGCCGCAGCACTAGGTCAAGATCATTGGTTTTTCTGTAGGAATAATATTGCTCTTTTGCTCGACTTTTAGCGTCCGAGACGCTTTTCAGAAGCAGATCTTTGTTTCGAACGCGGATAAAAGATGACACGGAGAAAAAAAAAGGCGAAGCCAGAACGTCGCGGAGAAAGAAGCGAGAGAAGTGTTGTGTTTACAGCTCAGGAAGCATTAATGAGTCATAAAACCGCCAAAAAAAAGCAGCGGAATCCCCCCTTTGATAGCAATAAACGGGGCAAATCAATCCATTTTATGAATAAGCCTTGTACATTTTTAATGGTTTGTTTGTTTGTTAGCCTTGGGGGTGCAGTATGTGTTTGGGGAAGGGCGCTCCGGCGATAACCTTCCATGGGCTGCCTGCTATCTGTGTTTACCCAGATACAAGACACCTTGCAGAGGTTGAATGTCCTCATTATCACTCCGACGTCTCCCTTTTTTTAAATATGCCTCGGCAGCGTCTGCTCAGAACCGCCCTTATCAGTGGGAGGGGTCCCCGATTTACCCGGGGGAAAAAAACCCGCTGCGTGTAATCCGCCGTGAAACGTGGAAAATATTCCTCTCTGCGTGCTCGAACAAGTCGGGTTCCTTTAACTCTTTAATGTTTGATTAGTCCACTTGAACTGATATTTTGTGAAAGGGCAAAAAGAAAGGCAGAGCACTAAGTGAAATGGTGACTCCTCCTTAATTAAATGTCATTCAGTCACTGCGGGGATCTGAGCCAGTTTGATGTCCAAAAAAAGGAAATCCATATGTCACCATTCAAGAGATAACTTGTAGATACAGCGTTAATTATAGCCTCCTATTTCATACCAAATTTGTATGATTTAACCACTATAATTTCTTTACTCTCATATGAAGAGCTGGCCCTCTTTGTAGTGTAATTGTGTCAAATGAAATGTGTTAAAGCTTCACACTCTATAGTGACAGCAGCCATTGTCCTGATTAAATGTATAAGACTGCTTGAAATGAAACACATTCTCTGGGATCTACTCCCTGTTAGGAACGCTATGATGCGGCCGTATCATCAATGTTTTTCCCGCGGTCTCTCCATCACTCCTGATGGTCGCCTTGAAGAGTGGGATGAGGAGGGAACCTGAATAACGGGCTGCATTTTCTGTTTTTGTTCAATTAGAGAAGCATTTGTCTGCCACCCATGTCTCCTCCGCTCCACTCCGAGAGCCTCGCTGTATAATTAACCTCGAATGGCAAAAAAATGATGTTGATAAATTACACAAGCAGAAAAAGGGGGAGAGAAAAAACAAGCCTATGACTCGCATGGAAGCCGAGAGGAATGTGTGGGTATATTCTCGACTCCAAACTCAGGGAGGCGAATGGAGGGAGAATGAAAGAGAAGGAGAGAGAGGGGAGGGGGGGAGAAAAAAAAATAATGAGGGCATAATTTTAGAGAACTAATTATTTCTATTTGTCTTTTGTCACACTTCTCTAATTCTGCGATATTAACACAGTCTGTGTTTATTAATTGCTTTTACAGTGTTTTGAATCGGGTCCAAGAGGGAAACGCGGCTCTTTTCACAGGCAGGCGAGCTACTGGGACCTCGTACCCCGCCAGTACTGCCTGGCAACGGTGCACACGCCAATATCTTCCCCCCCAGTATCGTCTCCGGTTCCCCGCCGCTCCCCACTCGACGTGTTCGGCAAGTTTACACGACCCCTGCGCGCCGAGATAAAGTTCTTTGTTGCAAGATTAAACATCAAAACAGTTAAAGTGAAATTAAAATTAAATGAATGAATGTCACTGAAGCAAAAAAAAGACTGTAATTAATGGATCCCTTAATTGTCTTCATAAAATATTTGCATGGGCATAATTTGCATAATTTACATGTATTAATTAATCTTTCAAAGGAATTTTGTGCTGAGACAAGCCAAAAAATTCCCTTTGTTTTATTTAGCATCTAATGAAATATTTATTCTCTTTAATGAACTTTTCATCTTGATTTGAATATAGAAATGCTAAAGTTTTTAACATATTTTAACGAGGCGGGCCTTTCATAAAAACAGCGTGTCAAGACGTCACAGATTCCTCATCGCGTGTGTAAAGCGGATGTTTCAACAAAAAACGGATTTCAATCAGTGAGATGAGCAAAAAAAACAAACAACGCCCCCTCTCCACGACGCGTTCAATGACGTCATCCGTCAGGTGATTAAAACCGTCTTTCGTTCCCGTTAACGCCCCGACGGAAAAAAAATGCAGCCCGGTAGACAGACGACCGAGAAGAGCGCGGGATCGTCTGCTCTTGTTGTGAAAGGGGTTGGGTTGCGTGTGCGTCTGTGTGGAGTTGTGTGGGGGCCCACACTCGTCGGCCTGTCTGTTCCTCGTAGTGCTGCATTCATGCTATAATGACTTTTACACAGGACTCGCTGGTTGTTGCTTGAATAGAGGCAGCCATAGTGCAATGCCTCTGAGACCTACGGCAGTGCTGGGTAATTAGCCTGTGTGTTTGTGCATCCCCCCCTCCTCCTCTCCAACACACGTACTGTACACACACACACACACACACACACACACACAACAAGCCTTTGTTGTCTCCACTCCATGCACGACAAAACATAAAACAGACTAATAAGGACTAATTGATAAAATGTATAGATATTAAAGCACAAGTGGTGACTAAGAAGGAAAAAACTGCTGTTTTTTTAATAATAGAAAATAACCTGCTGCTCTGAGTTGTACTCTCAGGTGTTGTAAAGCAGGTGTGTCCTCCGTGTTGAGCGTCGTCTCCTACGTCCTGCTCGGCTCGCGTCACGTCCAACAACCGGCGCCGCCGAACCTCTTCGTGCGCGGTTCTCTTTTTTTACACCGTTGAATTATTTATGCTCACAGCCACAGAGAGGTGCGCTCCTCAAAGGCATCGCCCCCCCTCCCCTCCCCACGCGGCAGAGCAAAATGTGCAGGTAATAAACGTCAAAACGTGCTCCTGAACTGCGCTAACAGATGCTTCCTCCCCAGCTCAGCGTCGGAGCGGCGCTGCTCGCTCAGGCGAACGCTCGAGACGAGAGACGTTTTCCGCTGGAAAATGGACAAAGCTCGTTAGGTTGGAGGTGTCAGGAGATAATGCGGCGGAGGGGAATGTCTGCCGTCTCCAATAAACACTTATTTCCACGCAGGAAGTGTCACTTAAGAGAGCGCTTTACATCGCGAGTGCAGCACTGTGTTCAAACAGGCGCATCAGTGGAGAAATCTGACCCAGCTTGTGACGCCTGGAGTGTGGTTATCATAGCTGCTCCTGCAGTGGCTGTATGAAATATGCATGCAACAGCGTGGTTACATTTGTACGTCCCGACCGATGCACTTAAATACAAAGGCACCACTACTTTGGTTGGCCCCTTGTTTTCTTTCCACCTGACACCATCACGCATTATCATTTCTCTGAATTAAGCGACTGTACGCGGCATTTAATCGCATCGGTCATGGCCGCTCACGTAATCTGGTGCTGAAATCGGGTTTGTGAATCCGTGGCAGCACCGCTGAAAGTGAAAGACCAGAGGGCAACAATTTTGTGAAGTTAATGTCCCATCGAACACTCCTCAATAGTGCATTTTGCGTCAGCAGGATGTGTTAGCTGTTGGCTAATCCTTAGCTCCTGTGTGTCCTCTGTTGCAGATGGAAGACTGTTCCTGAAAACCACCGTGATGTACTGATAAGGCCGCGAGGAGCTGGAGGAGATAAATCATTCAGAAAAACAACAACAACAACAACAACAACAACAACAACAACAAAAAAAAGGAAAGAAAAGAAAACCGTGAAGATTCTCAAGAGCCCTCGTTCAGGCTGGTTTAGTGGAGGGAAGAAGTCGAGCTGCTTCACTGGGAATGCTGGAGGAGCTCGTGTCTGAATGTAGAGTAAGAAGTCTTTTCCTCTCACAGAGGCCAACGTGAGATAGTTCGGTAGAGCAGGTTTTGACGTAGCAGGTTGGCCAACGCGAAGGACAAAACACATTGAGCACAGTAAAA